AAAAATGTCATAGTATAGTATGTCGTCCAAAATGATGAAAAAAAGTCATAGTATAGCATGTCGTCCAAAATGATGAAAAAAGTCATAGTATAGCATGTCATCCAAAATGATGAAAAAAGTCATAGTATAGTATGTCGTCAAAAATGATGAAAAAAGTCATAGTATAGTATGTCGCCCAAAATGATGAAAAATGTCATAGTATAGTATGTCGTCAAAAATGATGAAAAAAGTCATAGTATAGTATGTCGTCAAAAATGATGAAAAATGTCATAGTATAGCATGTCGTCCAAAATGATGGAAAAAAGTCATAGCACAGTATGTCATCCAAAATGATGAAAAAAGTCATAGTATAGCGTGTCGTCCAAAATGATGAAAAATGTCATAGTATAGTATGTCGTCCAAAATGATGAAAAAAAGTCAGTATAATACTCAGAAAAACAGTAATAGTATGTTGTCGTGATACATTGAGTTGTGTTTAACCTTTGAGCCCTTCTCTGTGTTTCAGGCTGGGAGTACAGCCAAGGCTTCATCAATGAAGACATGATGAGGGAACACCTGCCACCTCCAGGTGACGACACTCTCATCCTGATGTGTGGACCTCCGCCAATGATCCAGTTTGCCTGCAACCCCAACCTGGACAAAGTCGGCCACTCCGACAGCCGGAGGTTTACCTTCTAGACGTCCATTCTCATCATGGAAACGAAGTTTGGGCATATAAGGGCATCCAGTTATTCTATTCTCTACCCCAAAGCGTTAAAGCACTTGTCCAGTTGTAGTGGGTATTGCACTATGTATACTATATTTATGCCCTGATATTCATCATGCAGCAGAATTACAGCATGGACCAATAATTGTAATCAGGAAGTGTCATGGAAGGAGAAGGAAATGGGAAATATGTGGGCTTGTTTGGGATTGAAGTACATGGAGGAGATGGAATAACCAAAAGTGTTTATATATAGTTGGCTTGGAAATAAGGATGTGATTCCAAATCTGTTGCAACAATATCGAGGAGTTAAGGTTTACTGGCTGTTTTCTGAGTGCCTTAACTTGCAAAGCTTTTTTTATGCACACTTTAAGATTCGCGACCACTTGCGTCATTTATACAGAGCTGTACTAATTATTCCATTACTGCTGTTTTGAATGTGTTACAGAGTTATACCTGCCCTCTATCTATCTGTCGTCACGTCAAAGATGTCAATATTTTGCTAGAACATGCTCAGTGACTTGTTGAACGTTGTGTGGTTACTGATACGATGTCTTTGCTGCAAGTCTGGCAACAGTGGCTACCTGTGTGTGGATATGCAACATAAAGCAACTACTGCTATTGAATTTTTGACACTTTATTATTTTGTATTTTGATTGACTCACTGTCCGACAGCACGCTACCTGTTTGGAGAAGCAGACACGGAGTACTGCCACTGAAGATAAGCCATGTACGGCTGTAGACAAGGGCAGCAGCAAAACCTATTTTAGCCACATAAAGTCAGTATCAGTTTAAGCGTACAGTATAATTTATAATGTTTTCACAGCTTTACCTTGCCGTCAGACGGCCCTCTTCAACATGGAACAGATGATTACGACTTCATTTACCTGTTAAGAGAGGGCTGTCTGGCACCAAGGTAAAGCGGTATGTTTTGTTGCTGGCCCCATCCAACGCAGTACATTACTTCCCCTCCTTGGTGGTACTTCTGCCTGCTTCTCCAAACCGGGGTCATGCTGACTGTTATCTATTGTAGGAAACACACTGACAGCAGGTAAATATAGCATACAACCATATTTTTGAAAAAAATCCAAACAATGAAAATGGATTTTCTGTTTTTATTACCAAAAATTTAAAAACAAGACTTTGGTTTCCATCTTTGCAGTCATGCCGTTTTGTTTTTTTTTTTAAAGGAAGAGTTTGACATTCGGAGAAAGAGTTAGACGAGCTAGAGGGGCTAGCTTAAAAATACACCAGCACCTCTAAGCTCATTAATCAGTTTGTGCTTTTAGGGAGAACTAACAATTTTGTGGTGAACAGCATTTCAGCAAAAGAGATGAAACGTGTTAATTAGTGAGCTTTAGAGGTTCTGGTCGTCTTTATGCTAAGCTAATCGCCTTCATATGTAAAACACAGACATAAGAGTGACAGCGATCCCCTCTCCTAATCCTTGGAAAGAAAGCAAAACAGGGCATTTCTCAAAATGTCAAACCAAGAACAAAACATTTCTCACTTCCTTCCTGGTGGTATCTAGCCAGTAGCCATGCAGATAGTTTGATATTATTAGTTCAGGTTTTAAGATATCTGCCTCTGAGATCTCTGTCTTAAGAGACACGGTTATTAAAAAAAAACTTTTCACAGCAGTGAGCACCACACACAAAATCCCCATCACCCACATATCGGACTGGAGTGGAGGCACAACTCTCAAAACCTGGACATATAAAACCATTCTGCTGAATATCACCAGCAGTAAATGAGAGGATGCTTGCTGTTATTTAAATGAACTCATCTCAGAAGATAACATAAAGCAACTTTACGTACCACAAACCAAAATGAATGTGACTGCAGCTGACGACATAAAAACTTCAGAACTACACTCAAAATAAACGAGAGGATTAAAACAAACTAACATATGCTTACCTCACTGATAACTGAGACAAAAAACTAATGCTTGAATAGTAAGAGGTACATTAATACAATAAAACCTTGCATTTTCAGTTCATGCATTACATTTTGGACAGCTTCAATAAATATATGAATGGTCATCAAAGTTATGGCTGTACTTCTGACTGATGAGAAGGCTGTAACAGTGGAGGTCTCACAAGCTCTACAGGCTGGTCCAGAGGTGGACGGATTTGGATTCTGGATGGCACAGTTTGGTTTACTTTCCCAAAGCATCTAAATCACACACCAGAGTTGTGGTCAGGTTTTGCCGCGTCAACAGAGATCTCAGGAAAAAACTCATCTTCCTTCAGCATGCTCTGAAACACAAAGAGGACCAGAGAGAATGAAGGAAACCCGTTTAATATTAACTCAGGTTTGTACACTTACAGGTTTGTATGTTCTGGGTAATGTTCCTAACTGACATGAAGTATATACACAAGGTAAAAGAATTCTCATAGTATGTCATATAAAAGTAATAACAATGTCATGGTATGTCATAAAAAGGGACTAAAAAAGTCATAGTATAGTACGTCGTAAAAACGGGACTAAAAAAGTTATGTAAAGTATGTCATAAAAATGGGACTGAAAAAGTTATAGTATGTCGTGAAAATGGGACTAAAAAAAGTTACAGTATAGTACGTCGTAAAAAGGGGACTAACTAAAGAAGTTATGTAAAGTATGTCATAAAAATGGGACTGAAAAAGTTATAGTATGACATGAAAATGGGACTAAAAAAGTTATAGTATAGTATGTCATGAAAATGGGACTAAAAAAGTTATAGTATGTCGTTAAAATGAGACTAAAAAAGTCATAGTATAGTACGTCGTAAAAACGGGACTAAAAAAAGTTACAGTAAAGTATGTTGTAAAAATGGGACAAAAAAGTCATAGTATAGTACGTCGTAAAAACGGGACTAAAAAAAGTTACAGTATAGTATGTTGTAAAAACGGGACTAAAAAAAGTTACAGTATAGTACATCGTAAAAAGGGGACTAAAAAAGTTACGTAAAGTATGTCATAAAAATGGGACTGAAAAAGTTATAGTATGTCATGAAAATGGGACTAAAAAAGTTATAGTATGTCGTGAAAATGGGACTAAAAAAGTTATAGTATAGTATGTCGTAAAAAGGGGACTAAAAAAGTTATGTAAAGTATGTCATAAAAATGTGACTGAAAAAGTTATAGTATGTCGTGAAAATGGGACTAAAAAAGTTATAGTATGTCGTAAAAAGGGGACTAAAAAAGTTATAGTATAGTATGTCGTAAAAATGGGACTAAAAAAGTCAGTAAAGTATGTCATAAAACGGGACTGAGAAAGTTATAGTATGTCATGAAAATGGGACTAAAAAAGTTATAGAATATGTCGTAAAAATGGGACTAAAAAGTCATAGTAAAGTATGTCATAAAAATAGGACTTAAAAAGTTACAGTATAGTATGTCGTAAAAACGGGACTGAAAAAGTCATAGTAAAGTAGGTCATAAAACGGGACTGAGAAAGTTATAGTATGTTGTGAAAATGGGACTAAAAAAGTTATAGTATAGTATGTCGTGAAAATGGGACTCAAAAAGTTATAGTATAGTATGACATAAAAAGGGACTAAAAACGTTACAGTATAGTATGTCGTAAAAATGGGACTAAAAAATCATAGTAAAGTAGGTCATAAAACGGGACTGAGAAAGTTATAGTATGTTGTGAAAATGGGACTAAAAAAGTTATAGTATGTCGTGAAAATGGGACTCAAAAAGTTATTAGTACAGTATGTCATAAAAACGGGACTAAAAAGTTATAGAATATATGTCGGAAAAAAATGGGACTAAAAAAGTCATAGTACAGTATGTCATAAAAACGGGATTAAAAAAAGTCATAGTAAAGTATGTCGTAAAAAGGGGACTGTAAAAGTCAGTTTAGAATGTCATAAAAATTAATTAAAAAAATATTCAAAAAATGTCATAGAACAATATGTCATAAAAATGTGACTAAAAAACTCAGTTTTGTACGTCAGGAAAAAGTGATAAAAATGTCATGGTATGTCAATAAAAAGAAGTAAATAAGAAGTCAAAGCATAGTATGTTATTAAAAGAAAAAAAGAGAAATCACAAAAAGTCATGTCAATCCCTTGGCCATAAATTCCCTTATTTGGCACTCAGTCATTGAAACTTTAAGAAACCCTGGTCTAGTCATACAAGAGAAGGTCAATGTCTCACCGTTAGATTGTTGATTTCTTCAGAAAAAGCTCCTATCTGTCTCACAGTCCCTTCAGAGTCTTCCATCTGCAAAAAACAGAACCCACAGAGGATGACGCAACAGATGAACCACATTGAAAATAAAGATACTTTTTTCAAAGGCTCAAATTACAAGCCAGTGTAACTGTTGATGATACTTGGTAAGAAATCCAGTTGTATTAAAGAAGCTAGAAGTGGAAATTCCTCCGTACCTGTTCGAGGTGGTCAAGGTGTTCATTGTAGATCCGGAGGCCTCTCTGGAAGCTGCTGTTCTTGGGCATTTCCACGTTCATAGGGCAGATGTACTCCTCGCCATCATCATGACGTTTCTTCCTCAAAGTGCCGAAACCTCCAAATGACATGCGTCTAGGCTGGAGGAGGAAAAAGTTGTGTTTATAGTCAGCATTCTGCACCAATTTCACATAAAGCTGAAACATTTCATTGATTGAAAGAGAATGAATGTTCATGTCTTATTTGAGAATAAATTAAATAAGATGTCACAACAGCTTGATCAAGCCAATATCCATTGGTAAGACACCAAAATCAGCCCTATGTGTCCTCTGAGTGACACTCAATGAGTTCAGTGTGGAAGAGCCCAGTGACAGAGAGAGATTTATTTGTGATTCAGTGGACAGGCACTTACCTTGACCTTGGCAGTGGCTGTGAGGACAGTGTAGTCTGGGTTTTCCAGACAGTCTTGTTTGAGCCGCTGCGCCTCAGAGCCGATGAGCAGGTGGAAATGTGTTGCCAGGTGGCGTCTCAGCAGGGTTTTGTTGGGAGGAATGTTGAGCAGAAGGGCGAGCGCCTCCACGTTGAAGCGGGGCTCCAACACCTTCGGAGCGTGCAGACATTTGAGAAAACATCACGGTGAGAGGTCAAAAGAGGGAAATGATCAGAACAGAGAACAAAGTCTGATGCAGAGCCACACCTGGGAATATTTTTTTTTTTTTTTTAACTAAATGTTAAAGTGAGGCTGTCTGCAGCATATTCTACGACAAATGCACTGAAAGAGGACCACAGTGAACTAAGTTAGCATTTATGATTCTCATATAAGACAATGTGTTGAACACACTATTCCAGGTCACACATTACTACAACGTGTTTATCAATTAATCTTCAGTTGAGACCCCAGCCATCCAAGATCAATGGTGCATTCATGCGCTACTCAAGATGATCGTTCTTCCAACTTCGTTGTGTTAATGAGCTTTAAATTGTAATGTATAAACAGTATACAAAGATGTTCTCAAACAACATGCTGATAACCAAGAGCAGAAGAAACAGATCAGGTGAGAAATATGAAGCTCATTTTCAGATTATTCTGATGCCACATGAAGGCAGCACAAGACTGACGTCAGCTGTTGTCTACTATGACACACTACAGGAGATGAAACAATGGATTACTGTGTACGATACTTGTTTTAATTCCTGATCCGAGCCGATGCTGTGACAGGCTATAATCGCGCTGATATCATGCAGTGTGAACCAAGCATTAGGAACAAAAAAAAATACTCGTATCACCTAATCTGCTGCTACCATCGTCTGTTTTCACACTGGGTTTGTTTCATTTCATCTAATCCTGACTCCACCCCCTTCCCTCTCACCATCAATCCACCATGAACGCCGCTGCCCCTCAGATTGGGAGCGTATTCTGCCAAATCCACAGATCGGAGCCACTCCATCACTCTGTGGTTGGTCCACTGGGCGATCTCTGCTGGTGTGATGTTGGTCTGGACAATGACAAGGGAATAATACAGATGTAAGGGGGTGCTTTAAAACAAAAAGAAAGAGGAGAGGAAGTATTGTGACATCCTGTGTGATACCTCATCGGAGGGTCGTCGCCTGAGGCAGTTGGGCTCGTAGCAGTTGAGGCGGAGGACCTGGATGGCCCTCTTGATGCTGAGGTGATGGAGAACACTGCCCACCTTCAGAGACAGCAAGTCGTCCTGGGATCAAACAACACAAAGAGTGAGCATGATTTATTCAGTGGGAGTGTTCACACAGAATATAAAAGTATTATTAGGAAGATCTTTTGCTAAAAAAAAAAAAAGTTTTTCTTTTTAATGTCAAAGGTTTACAAGCTTCCACACAGGCTCCAGTGCAAGGTGACAAGGTTTTAAAAAGCTCACCACTGTCAGGTAGTGCAGCACGCGTCCGTCAACACGGGCCTCGTCAAAGTGACTTTTGTACTGCGGGAGGCCGATGTCGTCCAGCCACCCTGAAACAAACATCAGTGTCATTAATCTGAATTTAGTTTCTGTTCACACTGACTCTTTACAAACGAACCAACAGGAGCAAACATGGCTATTCAGTGAAGGCTGAAACATGTTCTTTTATTCAATGGGAGCGATGAGGTGTGACACACAATGTAACTAAGCTGTCATCCTGCACCATCAGGACCCAGGTGGATAAATCAAATTCCTTGTGACCCACAGAAGTTTATGCAGCACTTTAACTCTTCCGATGAGCACATTTATGTCCTCTGGTGTCACAAAGAAATAACTGATTATAGCCATTATTAATATTAGTCTGCAAATTGGCGGCATGTTGTGACTAACAGGTAGAGACAGGACGAAATGAAGGCGTCTTGTACAGCAATGATTTGGCGCTTGTTACTGTGGGATCACCGTCACACACCTTTTAATGGACTTACTGAACCGACACAGAACACTGACTCAAATACAAGCACAGCAATTTTATCAGCTTCTCATTCAGGGAAAATACCCACGCTGACATTCATTTATGTTACCATGGTTACCAAATGCCTTATAGAGGGCCTCATACAAGTCAATGATAAGATCACTTCCTGAGCAGATTTCAAGAGCAGCAGATGGATTTTTACTAGTTTAGCTTTTGAAATAGAGGTTAAATGACACATCTGCTATCATAAAATCCTGTGGTTGGTTTGTGTGCTTTCACACCACAAATGAAACACACCAGAGTTTGACTGACAGCGGATGGAGACCCACCTTTTCAAGTGGTTTAGGGTCAGTGTTTGGTCCACTGACAGATTTCTCACCAGCCAAAATGAACTTTACTAGCCAGACAAACTGACCTGAGTTTCTTTAAACCTAGCTAAACTGGTTAGACAGCACCCAAAGATGTCGTCATACTCACTGGTCACCCAGTTGTGGTCCAGTCTGCCCTTGAGATCCTCCTCCTCTGACCCGAGAGACTGCAGAGCCAGCTGCAGCTTCTTCCTGTGGAGAGGCTGCTTCATGCCCAATTCCTGAGCAGGTAAACAGGAAACACACAACATCATACACAGGAAACTTTTCAGACTGCAGCATGGAATATAAAGTAATGCAGTATCGCATTTCCTCCATTTGTCCATCTGAGTTTTGGAAGTCTTAATTTTGGCTTGGAAAGCTAGAGATATAATGGAAGCATTTAAAATACGACAACTATATTTTAAATGCTGAGTTTCAGAACATGTCCTTGCAGAGATTTGGGATAAAGAAACCAATGTATTGCTGTGACAACACAAGATAAAACCTAACACTCCTACCTTCTCCAGATCGTGTTGTGACGCCCGCAGTAGTGTCTGTCCTGATTTGATCCAGCTCTGACCCTGAGCAACATATAACCCCAGACCCTGCTCATGCAGCCACGCACAAACTTCATCTTTACTCCACCGCGAGAAAGGAACATCGACAGCACTGAGGAGAACAAAAAGGAATAGTGATCATAGTAAATCAACTGGTGCAACCCTGACAAAATAGTAATACAGTAATATCTGCAGTGACTAGTAGATGTTTAAAAAAAAAACACATTATCTTGGGCTGTAGGTTACGCTTTAAATTTCTGATCGCTGCTTGACACCTACTTGTGTTTAGGTTCACGTGACCAGCCGAGTCGAGGGCCGGCCGTGGCTCTGACTCCTCCCCTCCTGAACTCCATCTCTGCATCATCCAGGTTGAAGGAGGTGGAGTGACTCCTCTTTAGTCTGAAGGAGTATCACATTACAAATGACCAAACAGATAACCATCTTACATGACTTTAAACACAGTGCTCTCACACGCCCTCTGGATGTTACCTGCCAAAAAATTTCATGAAGCCTTTGGACTTCTTTTTGGTCTCAGGTGAGGACGGCAGAGGAGCTCCATCGTGGGATTTCCTTGAAGGGACACCGGCCAAGTCCAGGTGCTCGGTGCCTTTACGTTCCGTCTCAGCTGTAAAAAATAATTACACATTAACATGATGTATTTAAACGAGGCTGGAACACTCAATACATCTGAGGAGAGATCAGAGCAAACAGCAAAACAACTACAGACACAGCACTACGACTAAAAGATTAATTTATATCACCCATGCAAAACACTAGTTAAAGGGTTACTTCAGTATTTTTCAAATTGGACACTATTTTCCCATGTTTTTGTGTCTAAGTGACTCATGCAATGTAACGTTAGATGGCAATCATATACCGTCAATTTATGCCACTGACAGACTCAAACTATTAATCTTAGTGTCACTACAGAGACAGACCTTTTGGTTAAAGAGTAAGATCCTATTTATCTAACCAGAAACAGCCCCAACATCTCCATCTCAAACCAACCAGACTCCATTTAAATAAACAGTAATTTTAGCATCGTAAAACACACTTCAAACGAAGTTGACAGAAACAAAATAAAATTCACAGCAACTATCTTGGTTCATCTCTCCACTGTTCCAACAATCTCCAACTCATGTTAGGTTGAAATAAATCTTTAATTCACTCAGTTAGATGTGAAAATATGCTGCCTCTGTATACACTAAAATTACTGTTTTTTAAATGGAGTCTGGTGTGTTTGGCGATAGTGTTTTCAAGGCTGTTTCTGGTTAAACTAAATTGATCTTACTCTTTAGCAAAAAGGATTATTTCCGCAAGGATCGTCTTCATAATGTTGTCACACACTTTGAAAAATAATCTGAGCCTGTCAGTGGCAAAAAGAAACACTTTTAAGGGACGTAAATTGACAGTGTCCCGAGTGGTTACGTTGTAGTTTCACTGCTGTCGGCTGCAGAACTCTCGCACAATACTAAACCAAATTAAAAAATTGCTGTCTTCATTACTCAGACACAAAAACCAAAACATGGGAGAATGTGATTCAAGTAAAAAATGTTGAAGTTACCCTTTAACGACTACGACACAACCTGTAGAATTTCTCATTCACAACAAATGAGAAATGCTTCAAGACTTAAATGGAAAGTCCCGTCAAACAGCTTCATTGCAGATGGTTAAAAGTCGTGGATAAGAAACAACTGGATGGTTTAATGAGATCATGGACAGAAACACCTCACAACAGAGCTAGAGACAGTAAACTCTAGGAAAATATTTTGTCAACAAGGATTTAGAGCAGTTATTCCCAGCCTTTCTTATGAAATACAGAAACCCACTAAGATTTATTCAATGAAACAGAAAGTCATTATTTAATTGAAGTGCTCACAATTTATGAACATATAAACTGTGAGGAGGGGTCATAAGCAAGAAAGGTTGGGAACCACTGATTTATAGAAACGTGAGGGAAAAGTTGTTCCATCATCAGACTGAGTTCACCTACAGGAAATTAACAGTCACATTATACTGTGTCTATCTCACATCCAGCTGTATAATCCAGAGCAGCCATACTGCAGGCCAACCAGGCCACTCTGCTCTACTGTACCTAACGCAGGTGCACTGACACTCCGGGTGCGGTCTTCACAAGTTACAGAGCAGTGAAAGAAACACGAAGATCAGACACCAAACATCTCAAAATAGTCAAAAATGTGATAAAATCCAGGACAGTGTGGAGATTAGGAAATCAGCTTCACCCAGGTTTGGAACGCTGGCCGTCTGCTTGCCTCCACGCAGCTTGAAGAAGCCACGGCCGAAAGAGGAGCGGGCTTTCTTGGTACCAAAACTGTCATCAGCTGTGGTGTTTGCTCTGACAGGAGGTGAGGAGCCAGGTCCTGCTTTATTTCTGACCTATGAGAAATAAAAAACAGGAGTGTAGAGTGTAGTGTTGGTGAAAGAGAAAGAGAATGTAGTTGCACCATTTAATCAGTAGGTGTCAGAGGAGGACTATGTGATACAGTGAGTCCTGTGATTGGTCCTGTGACTACATTAAGACTGATAAAAGAAGCTAATACACTCTGGCAGTCATTGATTCAACACCAAGACCATCTAAGCTGTTGGAAATAATATGATTATGTCATGTTATTTTATACAGCACAGTCAAGTCTCTGTAGTCAACATGATGATATCAGAGGTCGTCTGCTCTTACCTGGTCAGTGCTGCTGCTTGTGGCTGAGCTGCCCGGCTGTGGGACGTCTGATGAACTGAAAGAACAAGTTTACGAGTATTTAAACTAGGAGTTTGAGAGTCCTGAAATGCCACTTCTTCACTATGAGGTGATAAACAAACAAGAATTAGATTACTACTTTTTGCTTACCAGTCTTTAGCTTCAGCTGCTTCCACAAGTGGAACATTTAATATCAATTTCAGACGTACTGCACACAGGTGTTATCATTAATATTGCGTGATTAAACTTGTCAGGACTGTGTGGGCGTGCACAGACTTGATTAGATTAAAGGGGCTCTATGCCAAATTCAGAGTGTGTGAGGTGGAGTTTGAGCTGATGTTGATATCATGTTAATGATACATGTATGATAATATGGTGTAAATAATCCAGTGCCTCCTAAATGATTTGTTTCTTTTCATTCTCGCTTTGTCTCCCTCCCCCAGCAGCATCTGGTTGCCTTTTCACTATTCATTAAGTGTAACTGCTCTTTCTGTTCACTTTGGTGCAGTCAGTTACAGACTCACTGTCCAACTCCAGACACTTGGATTTTGAGTGTAATTCATTTTCGAAAACTAACTAAACAAGAAAAAGATAGAATAGATAATAAACAAAGTTAACAATTAACGGATAGCATCCCCC